CCCCCCCCCGTTGCACACAACTTCGCACTCTCTCTCACGACTCTTATCTCCCCGCTCCTACTCCCAACACTGAATTTTGCCAATGCTTCAATCCGGTTCCACCCCCAACGTTGTTGGTGTTGATGCATATGGCGAGGCTACAGCATGCGTGCTGCTCTGCTAAACAGGACACCAAAAACTGCAGCGCTGTCAACACCACTTCCCTGCACTTAACTCTACCCCCGCCCCCCCCGATACACACCCTTTTGATGAAGCAGCATGTGGGTTGGTTCAGGCAGAACTCCTTCCACGCCGCGGTACTCCCGAGCGGCAACTTGGTGGTATCTCAAGGGGATTCGCCCATGCACCCGGGCGCTCGGCGCTGCGTCTGGGGGGCGTTTGGGTGTCCGGGTGACGGGGGCGTGATGGAGTGGAAGTTGGTGTGGATGTCGGTCAGGAACAAGGCTGGCGACATCTGGTGCAAGGTCCGTTTCTCGCTTCAACGAGCTCTCTTGAAATCTCTCGTGCTTGCGCTCGTTTTTGGAACGATGCTCAATCAATCAGCAGTATTGCAGCGCTGCTGATTTTTTCTCTCTTCGTTGTTTGTTCGCGCCGTGATGCTTTTGCGATGCTGTTCTTGTATTGCTTGTGTTTGTGTTTGGATTTGGTGTGTGTCCAATAGAGCAACCCCCACCACCCCTGTCCTACCGTGATGTTGACCCTGTTATCTAACGCGCCACTTCTTGTGCCGTGAGCGTCGTTACAATTAGAAGCATAACTTTTAAGGTCGCTCGAAAAAGCTAGGGCTTGACGCCGACCTGCAAAGTGTACCGGTTATCGAGGCTGTTGAACGGAATGATGCATGCCGTAGACACCAAGTGGGAGCTGGTCGTGGGTTGGGCAACAACACCGGCAGTACCTGACGATGTGCCTTGCCGGCCTGGCACGCAGTCAACTCTGACACAACAGAGCGTGAGTGCATGCATTCATGCGAACAAGGGGTGCGGCAAATGACGCCCTTCCCCCCCCCTTTATTTGTTTTGATGCTCTGCGTGCCGTATGTGGGTCATCGATCCCGCTGCACCGAGGTCAAGGGCAGCAGGCATCACCCCCCTTCTCTTGTACTCGATCGTCGCTGGAGAAATATCAAGGAGCGCCGCCGTGGGTAAAATTGATCAAGCTTTGACAACATCACATGGTTGGGCACTAATCCCTAGTTCTGTGCAGGTTGCGGTGGTCCCTCCTTACCCTCTCTCCTCGCCACCTTTTGTTGCTGCCAGGTAAAGGGATGCGACGGAGCGGAAGAGTACTCTTACTACAGCGACAGCGGAGGAAACCCTGGCGGTAACGGGACCCGCGATTCTTCTTCTTGGAAGTGGCAATCAGGCGGCGGCGACGGTGCCGGTGTTGACGGTGGTGCGTTTGACCCTTGGGCCGCCGGCCGTAGCGATGGACGGGAAGACGATGGCGGCGGCGGCGGCGGCGGCGGAGGCGGCATCAGCCACCTGCTGACGCAACCCGGCACCGCCATCAAGAAGGCGGCCGGGCGAGGGGTCGCGTGGCTGACGGAAGCACTCGCGAAGATCAAGTCGGCGGCAGAAGACAGCGCTTACGCGGCCTCCCGCCCTCGCCACTGGTAGCCCTGCTGAGGGCTTCAGATCTTATGCGACTGCAACGCAGCCAGGGGGGTAGGAAAGACAGAGACCGAGGATGGGTGAGGGAGATACACACACATGCGCACTGAGGTGAATTGGCCACGACAGGCCGGGTTCTTCCACGCTTTTTTTTTCGCTGTTGTGTTGGGACCACTGAGTGGGAGAGACTGCCGACAGTCAACCGACTTGTACAGCGTTTTTCCCAAGACAAAAGTCATATCTCGTGCGTTCTTATGTGTGCGTTTTGTGCTCTTACTTGTCAGCCCGCTATTGAGTGCCAAGAAGCGCGTAAATTAATCAATGCGAAGACGAAGCCCCCCAACCCCTCTGGTTCGTTCATATTCTTCGTTCTTGCGTGAGCGCCGCATCCAAAGTGTAAAAAAAACAAAATAAATGTTGGTCGGTTGTTCCCCCGTGCTTGCGCTGTTGCCGTCCAACGATGATGGTCTTTCTTGTTGCGGGTTGTGACCGATTGACGTAGCCGGGTCGTCGTAGACAGGCATCGATGCGAGAACGACAAGAGGTGAGATGGGGAGGGGGGGCTTAACCCGGTGGTTCTCATGCGACGGTGCAAATCAGCCGGGGTTTCGCGCGAGGCACATGTTTTTGTCGACAATTATTGTGCTCGGTGTGTGGTGGTGTCATGCACGCACTGTCTTGTCTACAAAAGCGCGGGGGGGGGAGGACCATTGGTGTACATACACGAAAACAGTGCAGCGGAGAAGAAGCAGCCACCAGTTCACCACCGAAAGGGAAGCCTGCGAGTGAGAGCGGTAGGCAGAGGCGAATGTATGGGTGTATGCGTGTAGTGCGGTATTCGGTAGTCGCGATGTTGGACATGCGAAGGTGTCGCACAGCGGTACACACGACGGCGTCAGTATCGCCCATTGTTGTGTTGATGGCACGAGAACGCGGACTGTCGGATGGGGTAGGGTAGGGTAACAAGGGTGGGTAGGCCGCTCGTGGGTGTTCGGGAACAAGCAGGGGGTTGGGAGGTGCAGCGGCTGGATCCGTTTGTTTCACGTGGAACGCTCTTCCTTGCGTTTCGCGCAGGATTGCGAAAACAGGAGCATGATACTGCTGGGTGTGTGCAGGTGTGGTGCAAGCAATTTGAACCTGGTGACGTTTTCGTGATTTTTCCTACCGATGAGCATCGAATGGCGTCGTTTTTTATGCACGCCCGTGGTTTGTAGGTGTTGTATCTATTTGCTACTACTCTGTACGTATTCCGCGTGGTGTGTACACGCATGTGTGCACGTTCCTTTTTTTTTTTTTGCGTGTGTGATTTTTATGTTCACCGAGGTTGCATCGAGACGGGATTCCTCCGATTTTGTTCAGTCGCCAAAGTCGTAGTCGACGCTTTGATGGAGACCTGATTCCTTCATCCGCCGATGTGAGCGGTGGGGGGTCGTGAAAATGGCAAACTGTAATTATTGTTGGTTCAAGCCAGGACTGTCGTGTTGCGCGTGTGTAACGGGCGGCCGTGAAAAATTATGTATGTTGTTGCGTTTTACCGGAAAGTTTAGCGTAGGCTGCCGGGTTCCGAACTGGGCCGGGACGGATCGTGGCGTGTAAGTGAAAACCCTTTCGTAGATGTCACTCAGGGTTATCCTGGGAAGGTTTTGATGCTTGAGGGGGGTTGGCTGGGTAGGTCGCGGGGGTCTGAGGCGCCCACAAGGAATCCGGGACTGAAAGTAGCAGGGCACGAGCGGGAAGCAGGAGTTGCCCGCGGGGCCCCTTCTCCTGTTTGCGCATACGATAGGGATGGACGCAACGAATTGTCGGCTTGACAGCTTGGGAGATGGCATGAGTTTTTTTGTTGATAGGGTCGCTGCTAGTTGGTCAACACGACCGTTTACATATGCTTGGTTCCTGCCTACTCCGTGGGACATGGCCCCGTCTTGATCCTTTGTTTCTTGAACCAGTCTACCCGACACCACACGACACGAAATCTTTACTCAATTTGCCCCGCCACTTGCTGTAGCCCACTTGGCATATTTTGGTTCCACGTTATGCCTTCCTTTGTCACATCCCTCGATGCGCACGAATCGCATCGGTGCTCACCAACGGCAACGTTACTCTGTGCGTAGATGGACGCAACACGATGCGCCACACATCACCACACGTGCGCAGCGGAGTATGGCAAAAGGCATGACAGCGTCCTCGAAGCGTTCCCACCACCCCACCACAAAATCTGGAAACAAACTGGCACATGGCCGAAGGTTTCCCCCAGGCAAAAAACAGGTGGTGTGACGATTTATTCTTCGGCTCAGGCTTCCTTCGAGTCGACCAACAGAACAAATTGAAAACAAGAAGCCAAGAGCAACGCTTGTCGTGACAAGGCCATGCCCGCAGCAAGAAAGGTCCGTCCCACCGCAGCAGGATAGGATAAGACCTTCAGCGCCGTCGGTGGCCGGTGTACCCAGGCGTGTACGAATTGCTGCTTGCCCATTTCACGGCAGCCGTGTGGCCAAAAACCGCAGCGGACGGTCAGGCAAGCCGGAGGCAGCAGAGAGGAATCCAGACACCGGAGGCACATCCACAGGAGCAGGAGGAAGGGGACACGCAGACGAGACAGGGGTCGGGGGCTCCTACGTGTTAGTTTTTGATCAGTTCTCGCGTGTCAGTGAACGAAAAGACTCACGCTTGGTCGGCCGGCATCGTAAATGTATTCTTTTCTTGGATATCTTCGTTTCGCTTTGTACGCCCCCCGTTACCACTTCTGAGTTCGTTTAGCCCACAATGGAAGCTTCACCCACACGTGAGACTAAACATACCACACGAACAAATGTAGAGCCGAACGAGTGCCGAAGACGCTCTCCAAGCAATCTATTGGGCTGGCCCCTTCCTCCTCGCGCCAAGAGGGCTCGCGGAAATTATGGACGTACTGCTAACCCCCCATTTATTGTATAGGATTTAGCATGGTATAGGAAAGTCTATAGTATTGGCTTTAGTATCGAATTGTAAAAACCAAACGCAGTATAGTTGGCCCTCAGTGTAGTAGTACGGGTATGTGTGTATGAATGTGTGCACATAATATGTGTCCAGAGAGAGATTATACCGGCACTATTCAGAACAGAGATATATAGTACAGGTGGTGGACACTCATCATCATCATGTGTTCTGAAATCAAATCTCGAGATTTGATCGGCACAACAGTAGTACATTATAATAATACCGGACTGCTCGATGCACTCTCTATTCAACCGTCATCACTATATACAGGGCCCACTACTACTACTACTATTACTACTACTGCTGTGGTGTACTTAAGTTATGAAATGCCTATATCCATATCCATACTAAATCTTACACAATAGACGACGTAAAGGTTATGCAATACCATACTAAACCCTAGTTGAAACACCGTATACGGTAAATAACAGACCAACAACGAAAGAACCGATCGGACAGAACCTCCACCAAAACTTACTAGTTCGCCGCGTACAACTCCTTCCTTCGGCTAGCCTCCTCCCGGAGCTCCGCCGTTGCCGCAGCAGCCCCTTCCCCGGCCTCAGCGCCTCTTTCTCTTCTTCTAGTACCGAGGGGAAACACAACGCCACCGGCGGTGCCGGATTCCGCAACCTGGCGCCCCAGCCCCTCCAGAAAAGACCCTGGACCGACCGGCCTCGCCCTGCCGCCGCCGGAAGGATCGTGGGGACCTTGCCCAGGACCGGAAGGGAAAGGGGGGCGGCTCTGCAGCGAAGGGCCTCCGCTTCCTCCGTCTGGTTGTTGTCTCCCGCCCCCGCATCCCGATCGCGCCGCCCCCTGTATCGTCGTCGTCGTCGCACCTCCCGTCCGCTCGTATGGTGGGATGATGTGTTTCTTGCCGGCGTTCTTCTGATACCTGGTTCGTTGTGGGGGGCGTGTACGTACGTTAGCAAAACAGATCCTAGACAACTAAACACCTTGCAGCGTATGCATGCGTTTTGTATTTCGGTGATGGGGGTTGATATCTTGCAGGTCATGTATTGTTTCTTTGGCACCTGGCGCGGGGTAGGGCGACGGCGACGAAACTCTCCCAACCGGTTTGGAATGTTTGAAATAATTTTCTTTCGAGTCCCACTGCGTGCCGCACTTGACGCGCACACACAAGGACAGAAAACCAAGCCCACCTGAACTCCTCGCTCTTCATGTCCAAAGGAGTGGACTCCCGCTCGTTGGCCGCGCGAGCCACCGTGGTGAACCTCTCACGTGGCTCTGGCGCCCCGGGTCCTGCGAGCACCAAACCCTCCCCGGCCTGCTGCAGGAGAGCGAACGGAGAGAAGCAGCGTGCGAGGGTTGTAAGCCTCCGCGAAGCTTTTCAAGACAGGGTGACATGCTCTTGAGCATGAGAGAGCAAGATTGTGGCACGCCGGGGCGAGAGGCGATGGGCAACAAAAAGGTGGCGAGTGTTGTGCAATGCATGCGGGTAGCCGCAAGAGGGGACAACTCTTCCAAGAACAACAGAGGACGGTGATCACACAAAAGAAAAAGTGGCATGGATGGACTTAAACGAACACCTCCCCCGCCAAAAGCACAGGAATAACACCTTCCAAGACCGGCACCTGAATGAACACAATGAACGCGGAAAAATGTATCGACAGGCGCACGCAGGGAGACTGCTGTCGCCGCCACACCAGAACGTACCCGTGGTGGGCGGGCGACAGCCCTCCTGCGCGTCTTCACGGAGTCCTCGGTGACGGTGTCGGCTGCCGGGACTATTCCGTGCTCCTCCGACCGGACTATCGTCTGCGCAAGAGTCCCGATTTTTCGAGCAAGGGGGGGCATTAATGGCTGTTTTGTCTTATTCACGTGTACTGCATTGAGTGTCTGCCCAATTGACCACGTACTATGCAAACATGTATTTCAGAGACTGCAGGGGGCGGTAGTCGGTGGCAGAATGGTCCCCAAGCAACTAGAAATTGACATGTTTTGAGATCTACAGCAAGATACGCCCTGCGTGAGGCTAGACCTGAAACAAAGCAACTACCGCACCGAGACGGAACGCATGCCCCAAGACCAAGGGCAGGCATCTCGGCAGGACTGCGGCTGTCCCGAGCGAACTAAATGTACTCCACAGGCAGTTGTACACAACGAGACGGGCAGGAAATCGAACCAGTCTGTTTTTGCAAGAGAACACTTCAGCCAGCGCCTTCATGCACAGATGCACCGCTTACAGCTACAGCTAGGAGTGTAGTCGGGATTTTCTGCACCGCCGTTTACATGTAGTGTCTTAGTAGCATCGACCGCGCTATGTACCCGGCTGACCAATGAAAAGACATCAGTCTCAGAGCGGTTGAAAACACAAAATGCTTCTAAAGACCACGATCTTGGACCCTGTGACCGAACGTCATGGGGGAATCTACGCTACTCTCCGGGATAAAAAGACAGATGTCATGCATGTGTGCAGAAATTCGCCTTACTTCTCTGTGAGCAGCAGCTAGCCCGGTGTGGTGCATTCGGCGGCCAGCGGTATGTCGAGGAGCGAAGCCCGACCAGTCGGCGGAGGCGTCCTGCGGGTCGTAGACGACATCGCCGTTCCGCCCCGCCTCGGGGGCGGGGCTGCAGGCTGTCGGCGCCGGTGCCGCGGTGATCTTGACGTTCGAGAACGGCTGGTTATCTCGATAGCCGTCGAACTTGCTCCGGGAGGCTTGCTCCTGGAGCCAGGACTGCCTTTGGCGGTTTGCGAGATTGTAGTCGTGCGATTCAAAGAGGGGCGAATCATTACTGCAGCTCTTGGGAAGATGTAAGCGACCGTATGCTGCTGTAGTTTGGAACGAGGCTGGGTTTGCTCTGAACGGAGTACAATGTTGAATGGGCGCAGTTACGGACTGGTATCTATATACAGTGGGGGCCCCGGTTTAGCGACCCCTAGTGTCACGACGAAATATAGTCGCTATTCACGGCATGTCGCTAAACCGCGACCAAATCTTGACCGGGTCATGTATGCGTCGTATGGCAGAGGTCACATGAATGTAGATGAAAGAAGAAGCACTATAGGGTGACCTTAGGGTGGACAACCGGGGAGTAGTTCCTCTATGGTATGCATTCTTACCAACCAGCAAGCTTGTTGTACCCTCCGAAGTTTGTAGGAAATATCTCAAGATAAAGTGTACAGAGGGTGCCTTGTGTCTTTTCACGTCCCCGCATGCTGAGCAATCCTGTCCCTACATGTACACAGATCAAAAGAAAAAAGGCTCACGTACAAGTTCGATCTGCGAATTATGAATAAACAAAGGCGGAAGAGGGGGAAAAGTTGTGGCAACGTCCCCCAAAGCACAAAAATAAAACACCCCTGCATGGAACGGAGAAAGTTCGTGAACGCCCAAGCGGCAAAGAACCTCCTCGCACTGCTAGCGACTTCATTCTGCTACTTTCGCGTGTTACCGATCATGCATAACTCAACATGTCTCTGGTATCCATCTGTCGCGCTGGTTTCGCAGAGTGTGCTTCGATGAACAGCATCTTTGCCTTGCCAAGATGCTACGCTGCTTCGCTCAGTCAACGACTCCTCACACTCTTCAAGCGATCCAAAATGCGACGAAACTCCGAGTAGGGCGGCGGCGCCATCACTTCTCCACCCCCCGCACCGCCAACTTCTCCCGCCCCGTCTACCTCCATTTCTCTTGTTCGTTTAGTGGATTCGAGACGGGTGGGGAAGCCTTCATGTTCTTGGGTGCACACTCGTGGCAGGTGCGGTGCATCTCGATGCCATCGAGAACCTCCACCTCCCTGAAGTCTACATCAGGTGCAGGCGTCCACCGCAGCCACCATGGCAAACATGCTCCTGGGGTGCCCGCAGTTCCACATCCGTCTGCTTGCAGAACTCTCCATCGGCACCCGGCAGGTTGCGTATGTGTACGTGTCCCGCAGTGTTGTGTCTTATTTATTATTAGCATCGACCGCGCTGACCGGCTGAACAATTAAAAGACGTCAGTGCCAGCGGGTAAAAATCAAAATCAAGGTGTTGTGTCTGTGTGTTGAGGAACGCGGGCTCTCCGCAAAACTTTGGTCGATATTGCCGGCTAAAAACAGCCCAATAAGTCCCTAATAAGGGTTCGACCGGTTCAGCGACCATATGGTCGCTACACCGGGGTGCAGCGGTGTCACGAGATTTTGGGGTCGCTAAACAGGGCGTGTTGCTAAACAGGGGGTCGCTAAACCGGGCCCCTACTGTATCTACACATGTACAACAAACTGTAGTAGGGTATCTCCCTTCTTCCCCTCGCTCCTCGACAAGCTTTTGCTTAGACATGGGTTGTAGTGAAGGGGGGGGTCTTTCTGGCGAGCAGGGCTAGATTCACCCTCAAGGGATGACCGAAACCTTCTTGCTGCTGCGCATATCCGCCGCGAGGCATGCGCGTGGTGGTGTAGTTGGGTCGGCACTGATGGGGTCAGGCGAAAAAATGTAGATGCGCGGGCCTCTGGCCGTCGGCGTAGGCAGCGATGCCCATCTCATTTTT